CCAACTTGGTGTTGACCAGGACCCCCAAAATCTTCTCTGCAAAGCTGCTTTCCAGCCAGCAGGCCCCGAGCCTCTCTTGATGCGTGGGGTTATTCTTCCTTCACCTCTGCAGGATTTTGCATTGCCCTTTGATTGCCCCGAGCCCTTTGCACAGGACCCCCATTGGCCCATGGAGGTCCTTCTGAATGGCAGCACAGTCACATGGTGTGTCAAGCACTCCTCCCGGTTTTGCATCCTCTGCAAATTTGCTGAGGATGGATCCTGTTGCATTGGCCAGATCACCAGCTGTCTTATTGCTAGATTTCTATTTAATATAGCTAACCTTTACTGCTGGTGTTAAAAAATTCTAAGCACTAAACCCAAAAACATTCTGAAACCTGAAAATCAAAAAAGTTTCCTGAACACTACATACAGTCACTCATATCATGCATAGCATTTAAGCATTAACAGAATCAGAACTGTAAAGGGAGACTTCCTTTCCCATACAAAAGACCTAAACAACAGAGTAAGCACAACTTACTAAAACACTTCTAAGGTAACAAAAACATTGAGTCAGAATTACTAGTCATAAAAATAATTTATTAGAAAGGAAAACTAACTTATTTCACTGTCTGTCTTTGGCACAGCATCCAGTGTTGTAAAAGCTGTCCTCTCAGCTTTCAAGACATTAATTTTTTTTCCAAAGGCGGCACCAAATCATTCAGTAATCAATCCCACACTTGAGAATTACAACCCCATTTTACAAAATATTTCAAAGCAATAATGTACCCTACTGAAAAACTTCCCAGCGTATGAACTATTGGGCATTCTTGCTTTGGCACAACAAAAACTTGCATGTGCACTATGATACTATTTGTCAGGTAAAATTTAAAAGTAAATACTTGAATGCTCTGGCACGTTAGGTCTCCTTGCCTTCCCTTGCACTCAGTTCTATACATTCTGACGATGGATACAGAACAAGGATTCTGAAGACAGCATGAATAAAAATAGTCATTTATCCTTAGTCGCACAGCGTAAGTCAGCTTCTGCTGTGGTGTACTGGGAAGCGATGACCGCAAGGTTGACGGCCACCTGTCTTGATCGAGCAACTTACAATCTGGAATGAGACTGAAAAACACTAGTATGATGAATTTTTTTACAGCATCTTGTGTAGAGGCTGGCCACAGAAGTTGCAGACAGAGTTACTTATTCCACTTGCAACTCTTTGCAGTAACATTTCGATAGGAGTCAATTCTACAACTTATTCACAAGTTACATATGAGTACGTAATGCCTACAGAAATCCCTAGGCTGAAGTCTTCTGGGAATAGAAATAGAAAGTAAAAATCAATGTTCTTGCAGCTGGTGAAATCTCACACTCCCTAACATCATCTATTCTAACACTTTACCCGTGGTAGTTAACAAAATTGCTGAGCCATGAAAGCTGGAAGTCAGAGCCAAAAATAAACCTCTGTGAAAGAATGATCTTGATGTACAGTTGCATGAAAGAGAGCAATCATCACAAATTGGAAAAAAATCAAAACAGACACCACTTTGGACAGCTGCCCTGGTCACTTAAAAACCCAGATGGAACTCATCTAGTCTTAGGCACAGGATGGGGTGGAGAAAAAGGCACAGGAGAGAAAATACACAAGCTGGAACACATCTGAGGAACAGAAAGACAAGCAGAATGATCATCAATTAGCCTAAGGACAAGGGTCTACAGCTAACGCATTCTTGCGGTGATCACATATGGCCTCTCACCAGAGATCTGGAGCAGCTGGACTGGCAATTTGACTAGACCGTAATACACTGCAGCATCACATCCTTCTCCGCAGTCTAAACAGAACTGATATTCTACTTATAGTAACAGAAAAAAACCTACTTCAAATTCAGAAAAACAGGAGGTCAGGTAATTTGGCCAATCATTTTAGTTCCATCAATGAAGTTCGAATAGGAACAATGTTTAAAAACTCATTTTTTTCCCTCAACATGGCATTGAGGCCTGCCTCACTTCTATTCTACCACAAAAAACAAGCATGGCAATAGTGCTTTTCTAACCAACTATTTTTCCACCAAAAAAACCACTGCATGAATCACATTTCCTTTTATTGAGTAAGGCCACCTTAACTACTCCCGCTTTAAACTGTAAGCAAACTTTAAGGGAAAACAGCCTACTTCCTCAAGTTAGAAGTGTCAATCATTCATATGGTTCTGACAGCATCATATGATAGATAAATTAAGGAAAATATCTTAACAGTTCCTTCAGCAGAAGTCTGTAACAGATGTCACTTTAAAGCTAAATATCTGAAAAAGAATCCCATATATTCTCCGTAACATCGTACCAAGTGAAAGCTACATCAACATTTAGTCAGACACAGAAGTGAAGTGGGACACTGGTCACCTGGACGGAAGCTGTTGGGAACTCAAAGCAATCAACAATCTTTCTTTCCATTCAACCTCAACACACTACAATGGGTTTGGATGCACTAGGAATTTGAGGTAATCTGGATCAAGAAAACTGCTGTAAAAACACTGAGTTCAGAAACCAGTTTGTAGGTGTTGCGGTAATAGACAAGTTTTTCTTTAGAAGTTGAACACTTTCATGTGAAGAAAAACAGAGTAAGCACACACATTTTTGAGCCGTTCCCTGAGCAAGTGCCTCTACAGCTAGGGCTGAAGCAATGTTGTCTGGAACAGTTCACCCACGTTCTGTTTCCAGTGTTACCAATGTGCCCATACAGCAGAGGAGAAATACAACCAATTCTGAAAAATTACTGTTCCATGAGGACACACATTCCACGTAACTTAAGACCAGTCTTATCCTGCGAAAATCTGCAGTTATCAATTTTAGGGACATCTGTGAAACTAAATTTGTCCCATGAAACACGCATTGAAGCAAAAAAGGAAGAACACTCTTTTCCTAACAATTTTCTGTCCCAGTTGCCAAAAGAAACTGAAGCAAGACATACAAAGAGTATGCACTATCTACCTTAAAATACCTCCCACCTAGGACAAAACCATATCTAGCACAAGTTTCCAATTGAGGAATTATCAGCTGGGTGCACTTTTATTACTTCCACAACTATTCTGAAGCCTTGCATTATCATTTATTAACAAAGTCTCAATCAAAACCAAAATGAAAATCAACAGTGATTGCTTTCCATAAACCTAGACCTTCTGGTTTCACATTAAGAAATATCCATACACAGCTTAAGAATGGTAAGCACAAAGTAGAAGAAAGCTAATTCAGAACAGAAGGCTGCACAGCATTACTCAAAACACAATAAATTCATCAGAAATAGCCAGTAGAAATACAGAAGACAAGAGGATCATAACTGTGCAGTGGTCATATCCCCAGTAAGATCATAACCAAACATCAGTGCAATCTCTCCTCACTGCAAGCGAAATAACTAGCTCCTGGTTCTAAGTCCCTTAATAATAACCTAGTCTGGAGAAACTAAGCAACACTAATTCAATAAATCAGTTGCTATGAATTCTTCCCCAGTTCTAATTACACAATGCTTCTAGGATTATTTTTACCGTATCAGGCACAAATTGAAATTCACTTAAATTCTGGTAAAGAAGCCGTCTAAGATAGATTCCGCTTAATATACTAGACAAGAAAGGCTCAACTTAACCCCGCCAACATAATTAATGAACATCCCGACATGGCACACAGAACAACGGCAATAGCGATCAGCACTTCTGTTATCAGCACTTTGCACCCTCCAGCAGTTGAATAGCACTCTACTACCTAATAAAGCCAGAGTACATTAAATCAAATCTTGTCAGTGCGATATTCCATTCCCAAAGCTACAAAGTAGTCAACCCGAACGACTTCTACCACTTGAGAAAAAATAAAGCACAGAATTTGTATTTTCTGAGCTGTTTTACCTACCTTGTCCTTGAAGATATGTGGGTTTTGATAGATGAAGTCACGATAGCTTTCTGTACGCACTTTATCCTATGATTTAAAGAATAAAAGCGTTCACTATTTGTACTTAAGTACAGCATAGCATTCACAAATGCTGAAAAACTTGCTTTTTGAGTTAGTCTACAGATGTTTTGGGGCTACTGTACTTATAAAGGCTCTGTAATCACAAACACTTCCTGTTTGATACTCTTTCAGAATTTATTGTCTTTGTAAATGAAGCCAGCTGAGCCTCTGGAGGAAAAATAAGAAATTAGTTTACAGTTTTGTGACCTGCTGCATGTGATTTCAGCTGTTTCAAAGTTCTTAACTCTTCACCTCTTCCCAGGAACAGCAGTAACAGAGTGGCAATACTGCATGAACTTTACATAACAACCTCCTATACAATGGTAAAAATTTGAGTCACGAGCTCATAAAACGTTTTGTATCATTTCATTCTCTGATACTCCTGTAATACACAGATTCCTTCAAAAAAACATCATGTATCAGATTAACCTTTTCTATTTCTGAACAAACCGCAAATTCGCAAATCTGATGACAAGCTAGTAATTGAAGCTGTATGGCACATTCTATGAAAGCCCCATAAAATAAACTTCACTGTAATACAACACGACCTGAGAAGCTGAAATGTTTTCAAGCACATAAGTAAACATTTATAGTATCTTAGTATATGAAAGCTAGCAGTATAGCTCAATCTACCAGCAAAGCAATCTATTAAAACATTGATTCTCTTAATATGCATCAGCAGGTACACAAATTGACAGCCAAGTGTAGGCTTTGGAATTGCTGTTGCAGTTCAAGTGTTAGAGTGAAGTAAAAGAAAAATTTTAAGCATTTTTTATCTAGTAAAGACAAGTCTATAAATAATACTGAAGTATAAAATCCAACTGCTTAAATATAAGTTAATAATATTCTACTATGGCAGCTAAGAATTTTTAGAAACAATACAGAAATTAAAGAATCTCTGGTGAGAAAGAACAAAGTCTATTTTATTAGAAAAACAAGATCAAAACTAGAGACTGAGAACAAAGGATATGTTCACAGAAATTTTGGAAACAAAACAAATTATTTTGAGGCTTGAAAATCCTAAAATCCAGTTTTAAGTTTAGGAGTATCATCATGCACACACACACAGAGCCCAAAGAAACAGTTAGAGATGATTTTAGAAAACTGTATATTAAGATGAATAAATGAAACTGTGATCCTTTAAAATCATACTGGTTTACTATGACGTTATAGTCAAAGCAACTATTTTTAGTACCTCACCTCCACTGCAGTATATAATAGGATTTGCTGAAATGACCAAAAAAGTTTAAAAAAAAAAATCTGAATGTTCAGCATCAATCGAGAAAGCAGTCAGCTGAAAAGCTTTCAGCCTTACATTCTGCCCACTCACATTGTCTCAGCACTGCCCCAATTTAATCAATACAATTCTAGCTGCTGTCTCCACTATATGCACTGCTGCTCGAGTAAGCCACGGTCATTCACTTCAGGTGTCTCTATTTATCAATTCCATTCTCCTACTTGCCATTTCAATGTAACACTTTTGTTCTGTTTTTAAATAAAATGGTAAGGAAATTTATTAAGATGATAGTCAAGAAATTCTCAAACAAAAAAATAGAGCAAGGGAAACACAAACCATTTGGGCAGTGTAAAGTAACAATACTCTTCCCCCATCTATGAAGTATTTGCAGCAAAAAAAAACAAATGGGAACTTCATTCTGCTACTACCAGGTGTAAGAAAAAAATCGAAAAGGTTTCAAAACTGAACAGTGTCAGAAAAATTCAGAAAGCAAGACTCCCTTCTTAAAAATTTCAGTGTAGCAAGTTACTATATATAAAGATATACATACAGGAAAAAAAAAAGCTAAGTGAATGCCTAGCATATAGGAAAAAATTCAGTGCACGCATCATAAAAAGTAATTGCTTTCATATGTTCAGGAAAGTTAAAAGTCTTCTTAAAAGCATTCTGACAAAAATTCCCTGAAACGAATAAAATACAATTTCATACCAATCTCCTTGTGCAGAGATGCAGAATTATTATAAACTTTATTAGCAAACAGAAAGGTTTCCTCATCTTATAGCCTATAACATCTCAAACGACACCTTTATATGACTGCAAAACCAAAATTCTACCATTTTTATTTATCTTCAAGACTCAAATTATATTTCTCTAGACTATACATTTCGGAAAACATTTTTCTTGTTCTGCAGATGTCTCTGCTTCCGTAAAATCCCCCCCTTAAAATTATCCTCATGCTTATACTACTCTTAACACAGATTCATGTGTATTTCTACATTGGGGTCACTAAGTAATTTACAAAGCAGAAAACTTTATATGCTACCTGCGTGGACAAAGTCACTTCACAACTCCGTGTTCTATCTCTACATTAGGCAGGAACTTTATTTATTTGTGCCTTAAAATTATAAAACTGTTTATGATACTCACAACTATGATATTTTCTCTGAAAGGAAACACTAGGAGATTTTGATTTACATGTCAATTATAAGTTGTTGGGTTTTGAGTTTGTTGTTTGTTTTTTTTTTAAAGTTACAAGGGTATACACAGGTTTGCCTCTGAAGAGTTTTAAGCATTAATTTTTTTATCTTTATCTTATAAAAGGAGCATACAATTTTTCCAGCTGTTCAGTGTCATGTTATCAAGACACTGAATTGTGCACAAATACTGACAATTTCTGTTTACCTAGTGCAACAGGAAACCACAATATTTGAGAAAAAGTTTTGCCTAACAAATTTCAATTGTTAGGAAAACATAAACTAAAGGTACTGTCTGTACCATCTTTTATCCTTTATCTTCTAAGCACCCAGGGGAAAGTTGCTTTTGGCAAGGTAAGGTTGTGGTACAGACACTGTAATATATCTTCAAGCCTATCTGTAAAGTAAACGATTTTGTGTTCCTAATGCTTCCCGTAAACAGAATTTATACAAAGGAAAAAAAAAAGAAAGGAAAAAGATCTCTGAACCCAATTCCTAGGTAAAAAACTATCATGTATAGAAAGGGTTAAAAATGCAGCTGCTCTGCAGTATATTTATGGGCACACAGCCCACTTCATTCCATCTTCCCCCTTTAGTCCTACTAAGACGCAGTTGAGATCATTTTCTAACCTTTAGCATCTCTTCGTGTATCCCATAATGCCCATAGGAGCTGAAGTAAACACCATCCTCATCCTCCTGAAGGTCTGCAATGGCGCTGGATGACGAGTTGCTCCCGACATCTGCATTCATCACAAAGTCCCGTGCAAATTGCCTGTAATCATTTTGAAATATACCCTTGAGACATGTTTATGGGACCATGAACAAGAGGAGGGGGCAGTGGGGGGGGGCAGAAGGGGCCTGCAGGAGGTGAGGAATCCAGGCTGCACTGGGGCTCTGACAACAATGGGACCAGCTTTAGGTGTGCACAACCCTCCCTCTGCCGGCTCCATCGCCTGCTGCACCACCATCCTCCCTCCATCACCCTCCTACAATGACTACCTTCTGCTCTCAACCACCAAATAGCAGCAGTGAAACATTCAGGCTTCATTTCTATTTTTAAGGCGGAATTATCTATTTTGTGCTCGCTAGTATGAAAGCCAGTAGCAGAGTGGTCAAAATGATGCGTGGTTTAGAGTGTGTAATGCAGATATGGACTCAACACAACAAGCAGCACAAGAACTACAAACCATACAACGCTGCATGACTACTGCAAGGTAGATTAAAGTACTTTAAAACCAAAGCATCTGGTAGAAACAAACCAGAGCTTAAAATTCAATTTATTACTTTAATTTCATGCTGCTTTTTTTTTTCCTCCTCCATGGCCTTGCATTCCTAACACACACATTCTCTACTCATTTCTCAAAGCAGTTTTGGTGACAAAATACACAAAACAAGGGTTTTATCACGAAAACATAATTAAAAGCTACAAGCAAACAGCTCATACTATACCCACAATGAAGTAAAAAAAGCAAACAAGCTTCAGTCAGACAATATTCCTCCAAGGTCTACAGACCAACAGCAACAAAACTTGCATCCTAGACCACTCCAAAGCAGCCAAAGCTCATCTTTTACAGCGTTCATACTTTCTTAAATAGGAACTTAATATATGGAAGCTGTAGTAACATCTCATTACCATCCTTATAGAACAATGAAAACAAAAAACTATTTCAATCCTGAGATGTCAAATACTTCTCTGCTTAACTAGTTTGGATGGGGAAGAAAAGGTGGTAAGGGAATTTGTATTAAAAGCATGTCAATATCAGAAACTTCCTAGACTTGCTGACATACAGGTAGGGTCTGGATCTTATTTTTAATATTTTTGTTTACAATAGCAGTTTGCATTTTACTTACTTTCAGATAAATACAAAAAAATATATAAAAATTGAAACTTACAAAAAATACGATTGTGACATACAATTAAATATAACTAGCATTTTATAAGATTTAAACCCAATTTTAAATTTAAAATTATTTAAAATGGATTCAGCCAATAGTTCCTCCAGTCTATGCATGCAACACAAGTACCAAACAAACTCTAGCCCTCCTGTCTTTTTAATCAAGAAAAAAGAAGATACGTAAAAACAAAAGCCATCATCTCTAAACAGGGGAGTGATAAATTCTGGACATACTCTTAAATCTCTAAGTTATATCAAATGCTAGAGGTGACCTGATTTATAGAACTGTTACCATTTGTGGGGCAAACAAAAGGTCACTAGACCTCCAGCTACCTGTCTCTGCTTTGTACCCCTTTCAATGCTCATAATTCTACAAGTCTACTCAGTCTAGCAAACTTGGAAAAACATTTCCGCAGAAATTATTTCATACTCAACTAGTGAGTGTCCTCATACTACTACTCCTGGGCTCAGAAAGCAACAATCTCTAGGGAGCTGCACGACTGATCCTGAACAGGCAGTCATCTTAAGTATTTTTTCCACATCTCAGAGAGCCAGACCTGCATAATGCAATCATGTCGCAACTGAAAGAAGTTACAGTTACTTAGTCTGCCAAGCCACCTCAAGAACATCGAGCTCAAAACATAGAACAAACCCTCAAATGCATTTTACAAAACAAGGGTTTTGCCACTTTAATTTTCCACGAAAAGAACATGAATTATTTTTCCAAGCCTCTTAAATACAATTTCAGTTCTTTGGTGCCCAATCAGTGTGATCTTGAAATGACATGTTTGTACAGGATTTAATCCTATGTGATTCAAAAAGAAGTTTATATTCTCATTTTATCCATGAGCATCATCAATCTGTATTTTGAAGACCTCAAGATTTAGGAGTAGCATGTACAGCTATGTGGATGTCCCAATTCCTGACTGCAATGCACTGAATATTCTTACTAACAGAACTCACACCTGAAACTGAAAATAAAAGTAGCTGAAAAGTTGGTTTCTCCATTTCACTGAGGATTTCTTCAAACTGTAACTGGATTCTACTAGTAACAATCATTGTTTGGAGACATCTCTGAAAATGTTGAGAGTCCTGTATTGAATTTGTCAATACCTCTCTCTTCTCCATTGTGTACATCTTCAATGTTTAAATTCATATCTAAAGGGCTAAAGGAAAAGTGTCTGAAAAACAAAGAGTGGTCTGAAGCGAAATACATGTGGGCCATGTGCTTATTTAGCTTTCCTAAGCATACTTTGCTCTCCAACTTGTGCAAGGTTTTGCGCAGCTTTCACTAATCATCTACAAGGTAAAAGTCAAACCCACAGGCCCAACAAGCCATGAGTTTTGTTCCACAGTTACATCCTACCACTTCTTTGAGTTTCTATTGGTCTTTAAACATGAACATCTCATCTCACCTAAAACAGATCAAATAAAAAAATCCCCAAAATTTCAGTTCAAACACTTACTTCATTTTTTGAAGATCATCCTGTGCTCTAGCCAAGGCTGCTTCTGCAAGACTTGCTCTGTGTTCTGCATGTTTTAATTGTTCAAGCAGCATCATGCTATCACTTAAACCACTAGAAGGCAAAACATTTGCAGGTTCACAAAGATCTTCTATATCTGATGAAATGGGGAGGAAAAAAAAAAAAAACAAAAACCACACTTACCAGTCACATCTTGCTTCACAGCGGCTCATAAACATATGTTTTCAGTGTTGCTATTTCTATCTTTAGATGATTTGTAAAAGTAGTCTGTTTTACAAGAAGCATCACTGAATTTTATATGACTAGTCGCAGAACACAATACTACCCAGTAAAAGCAAGTATGTTAGAAGCAAGCTCTAAGTTAATAAAGCAAATAAATCCAGAATTCAGGCTTCTTTAAATACCAGTGTTTGATTATTGATAAAAGACACATTAAGTTTAGACTGTAATTAAGTTAATGACAGTCCTAGCCCCTATTTTTCCAGTTATGTTATTCTGAGGCCAAAATGGCCATTAATGCTAATAGTAAAAGGTAAGAAGGTATATAAATTCAAAATTTCTTAATACTTAGACAGTAACTCTTAATTTTCAAACTAATTCCTTGGGCTTTTATAAAGCTTGTAAACAAACCTCAAAAGAGCATAAGCTGAATGAATCTAGATGAAACATTGCTTTTTAACTATCAAAACTCAGACTCAGCACTAGGTTCCATTCAGCTGGTAATTTCAACAGATGTCAGTGGATAAAAAAAAACAAACGGTGCTACCGTGGTTTTGGATACAGTAAGAAGTTACTGCCAGCTTATTGGGCAAGACTTCATTAAAAAATACCATATACCTTTTAATCATGGAAGCTTATTTGGCCCTTGGGACTGAAACAAAGCATAGATACTTAAATTAAGACTTCAGTGGTTCAGATCCCACTCCCCCAGTAACCCTTCAGCAACTGCAACAGCACCTCAAAGCATCTCAAAAGTCTATAGCTTGGGCAAAGAGCACACACTAGGCAGGAGCTGATACAGTGAAACGTGAAATCCCTGAAGTAACCAACCAATGCTCTCTACTATGTATTATGTCTGCTATCACACAGCAGTGCTCCCTTAGAAAAGGGCAAAACTGCATTCCAGACTGTATGGAGAAGAAAAAAAATCCACAAGCCCTAAGTACCTTATAGTTTAGGTGAAAGAAAGATGTACGATCAAGTGTAAAATAGAAAGAGAGTGACGGGATCACGTGCAGCAAAAGTAAGTTCAAGAGTCAAACTGAATTCTCTCAAGACCGTCTGATAAATGGTCATGAGAGAGAAACTACAGCTGCTTGAACTCATTGCTAGAACTGCTAAAGAAGCGGAACTCTTCTATGCAACTGTAGTATCTTCCCCTGGGTTGGTCCAAAATAGAACTTGCATAAAACATGAAGGTATTTTCAATAAGGCAAATTACAGAATCACAGAATCGTCAGGCATGGAACGGATCTATGGAGATCATCCAGTCCAACCCCCCCGCCAAAGCAGGTTCACCTACAGCAAGTTGCACAGAATCGCATCCAGGTGGGTTTTGAATATCTCCAGAAGGAGACTCCATAACCTCTCTTGGCAGCCTGTGCCAGTGCTCTGCCACCCTTAAAGTACAGAAGTTCTTCCTCGTATTCAGATGGAACTTCGTTCAGTTCACGTCCATTGCCCCTTAACCTGGGCACCCCTGAAAAGAGTCTGGCCCCATCTTCTTAACGTTCACCTTTAAAGTATTTACAAGCATTGATGAGATCCCCTCTCAGTCTTCTCTTCCCAAGGCTGAAGAGACCCAGTTCCCTCAGTCTTTCCTCACAAGGGAGATGCTCCAGTCCCCTCATCGTCATCACTGCCCTCCACTGGACTCTCTCGCGTAGTTCCTTGTCTTTCTTGAACTGGGGAGCCGAGAACTGGACACAGCACTCCAGATGTGGCCTCACCAAGCCCAAGTAGAGGGGGAGGACACCCTCCCTTGGCCTGCTGGCCACACTCTTCCTCATGTACCCCAAGATACCACTGGCCTTCTTGGCCACAATGGCACGTTGCTGGTTCCTTACTTACAGCATACATTTTTGAATGAATGCATCTGATTTTAAATACCTACATTTAGAAGCTTTAAAAGCTTCAGAAATCTTCCAGTGTAGTTTGGGTGGAGTGCCTCTTTGACCTGCTTAATTACTACATACAGCATCTCCACTATGAACACCATATCTACAATAAGTGCATGCAGATAATAAAACAGGGCTACGGAAATCTCAGTCATTAAATCCCAACATACGACGTGTGGGGAAAAATTTCAGAGCGTGACTTCACGTCATTACTTCAGCTACTATGTGGACTTTCTCATGTACGTAAGTCAATTGAATTAATAGTGATGGTGCTTCATATGACACAAACTCTGCCAGTACCACATTTACCCCACAACACAGTACAGTCATACTGAAACGTATTTATTTACCAAACTGAAGTAGGAGATCATCTTCTAGCTCTGGTTTCAAATATTCCTCTCCTTCCCAAGGTAGTGGGCTGCTGAGAGAACTCAAATATGCTCCTGTTGGTTTCTAGACAGGAGAAGAGCATGTAAGCTAAGTTTTTTTTAAAAAACTCCAGCCCTTCAATTTCATTCAAGAAAATCAAGCAAAGATCTGATTTTCCATTCATTAGAATAAACAGGATATTATTAAGCTGGTTTTGCAGCAAAGGCTGAGAAAGATACTACTTTAAAGCATGACTAGCGAGAACAGTGAAGAAATGAACTTCTGACTTCCATCCTGGCTCTGACAATAAGTACTCACCTTAGCATACTGACACCACAACCACGGTGACCAGAGAACAGCATAAAGCTACACCTGTGAGCTAGTCTGGGTTCCAAAGCCCAGGAAGCTACAGGATCAAAGAATTCATACAAGCAGTAAAGCACAGCAGATTGATAGAGACTGAAGGATACTTGTAGGATTACACTGCAATCAGGAACCAAGTTTACGCAGGTGTTTGACTGTGTCGGACCTATAGCTTACAACAGGGTTAATCAATAAAGCCAAGATACTAATTGAGCCAAGTGATTTTACATGAACAGTGCTGTAGGGACAAATGTCAGAAATGCTATATTCTCTCCTGTTTGCATCCAGCCAGTTAATACTTTGTCAGGAAAGGAGAGGTCAGATTCTGGACTTCAGTTTTTCCATTTCTGTGTTCACTCTGCATAGCTAGTTATGCCTTAAATAATTATTTGAGGATTTAAGTAAAAAATGCTTAATTACGTAAGATGGTATTAAGTCTAAACCTAAACTTTTAGGGAACAACCAAAGAACATACTTCAAAGTCACAGAATACACAAAATATCCAGGCCTAATTTAAAACTGTAGGTTCCCACCAGCTTTCCTGATTCTGGTATCATTTTAGCAGAGATTAATTTTACATTCTGTGACCTAAGGGATCGAGTGTTGTCCTTACTAACGGTGCAGTAGGGGACTGGCCAGCTCACATCCCCAGGAAAGACTTTTTTACACCAACACCCATGCAAGGACTGAGAAACTTCAGTTACCAAGAAGTGAACCCATTACTAGAGCGAGACAGCAGAGTCAAAGGCCAAGATGAATTAACAAAACAATGTGATACTACATAGTGTGGGCTTTCTCCGAGTTTGAACATCCTCTTCTGGAAACAATAAAACTCACAGTAAATGTATTTAAAACGAAAACAACTTCACATCTAAATAAACCAGTCAAAAGCTATTGTAATTCCTGTGATTTCTTGTTTCTAGAAATATAATACAAAATTTCATACAATTACTAAAACAGGGCAAATTGAAAGCACAGCATCTCGATTTCCCATTCCCCAGACATAGATTACAGTAGTATGTGGCACACTTACCTTTAATCTAACAAAGTTTATTAGTTTAACATATCCATAAAAATCAAGTCCTGAAAAGAAAGGAAGGGGTGGGGGGGGGTGGGGAAGGAAGAGAGAGAGAGAGATTGCATTATGGAAAACCACACACATTCTACAATTATATGAATGCTAATTACTTGTTCAATTGGCCAGCTTCCCTTTGTGGTGTACACCATTATCTAGTACAGTCTACCTATCTTAAGTTTGCCATCTACGTTTTTCTTCTCCTTAGGACTAAACCACGAAATTCTCACCCTTAGGACAAATACATTTACCATAAATTAAGAATGGAACACATGTAAACGTGGATTATGAACAGGGATTTCATTCATTTGGCAAGCAACTACATCAGGACAGCCACATTTATCTCCTACTAGCTACCTTGCTGATATTTTAGGCTACTGTGCTCCTACGGTGGGAATCTGCTATAGACCACCCAACCAGGATGAACAGGCAGATGAGGCATTCTACAAGCGGCTGTCAGAAGTCTCGCGGTCGCCGGCCCTTGTTCCCGTGGGCGACTTTAACTTGCCAGGTATCTGCTGGAAATACAACAGAGCAGAAAGGAAGCGCTCTAGGAGGTTCCTAGACCGTGTAGAAGATAACTTCCTAACACAACTGGTAAATGTGCCAACTAGAGGTAGTGCCCTGCTAGACCTGCTGTTTGTGAATGGAGAAGGAATAGCGGGTGATGTGATGGTCAGCAGCCACCTTGGGCATAGCAACCACGAAATGCTATAGTTTTCAATACTGGGTGAAGTAAGGAGGGCCACCAGCAGAACTTCCACCTTGGACTTCCATTGGGCAGACTTTAGCCCATTCAGGAGACTGATTGCCAGAGTCCCTTGGGAGGCTGTCTTGAAGGGGAAAGGAGTCCAGGAAGGCTGAATACGCTTTAAAAAGGAATTACTTAATGTTTAGGAACAGGCCACCCCCGTGTGTAGAAAGACAAGTCATCAGGGAAAAAAGATCGGCCTGGTTAGATAGAGAACTTGGGCTGGAGCTTAGGGATACAAAGAGAATATATCACCTCTGGAAGGGAGGTGAGGTAACCTGGGAGGAATATAGGGATGTTGTGAGGTCATGTGGGGAGAAGAGAGAAGATTAGAAGGACCAAGGCTCAGTTAGAACTTGATCTGGCCACTGCAGTTAAAGATAATAAAAAAAAGTTTCTATAAATGCATTGGCAGCAAAAGGAGGGTCAAGGAGAGTCTCCATCATTTGCTGAACGCAGAGGGTAGTGTACCGACAGAGGATGAGGCAAAAGCAGAAGTGCTCAATGCCTTCTTTGCCTTGGTTTTCAATACCAAGACCAGTTGTCCTCAGGCCACCCAACCCCCAAAGCCAGATGTTAAGGACAGGGAGCTGAGTGAGGACCCATAATCCATGAGGAGATGGTTAATGATTTGCTGTGCCAATTAGAGTCCCATAAGTCTATGGTCCCCAACGAGATTCACCCTAGAGTAATGCGTCTCTTCCAACCAAACCAATTCTGTTGGTATTTTTAGCTTTCTGTTTAATAAAATGTAAATTGATCCTACTCATCAAGACAACATATCAATACTGATTTAAAACTGCCACCTTGCTCAGAAATAACAGTAGCTTAAATATAATTATGTACTGTCCTCACGAATGGTGAGGATACTGCATAAACTGAAAATACTTTCCACTGGATTCTAGACAGAAAACAGCCCAGATGTTACAACTTTACATGCAGATTTCTAAATGCTTCATGTAGTTCCCATCCTCCCATCTCTCACTCCATTTTAATGCACACACTTAAAATAGCATTTCTCCAACACTGTTCCTCTGCTTTCCAGTTTTCCTCTATACACAGTAAAATATGGATTTCAGGCTCAGTAGTTCAGCACTTACCTCTTTCAAAGCCTCCCCCCACACACACTTTACATATGTTCTCCTATATGTACCTTCCCTCAGTCACCACCTTGACCCTAAATACATGACAGCTTCAAGTGAAAGCCAGCCTTAACCTTCACTTGGAAAGACTGACACAGATGTTGGAGGGCATGCCTTCCTGGGATCACCTGAGGGAACATAAGCCAAGTCCTCATGCAGCCGCTTAAAAGATACCAGCGGTACAGCCCAGTTACTTGACCTTTTGGTGGATCCATCCACTTTGGTCTCTGCTAAGCTACTGAGCCCAAGGACAGTATCACCAGCCGGGCACGAGTTCCCGATAGATCAGGTAAACAGCTCTTACTCCAGGGTGCCATGGGGCTGGCTCAGGTCGATCAAGTAAGCAGCGGGGACTCAGCACAAGCCAGCAGAGATCAATCTTACTTTTGTTACTAGTCCAGAGCTTTATCAGTAGATAAAGCATACAGGAAACAGCCAGCATAAAGATAACATATAAGCATTTTTCTACAATAGCTTATCTTGCTCAATCTTGGAATCTTCAGCTACAACCAGGAAATCAGTTAGAAACAAGCTAATCCAATTTATTTTAAACTAAATGCTGATATAGAGAAGGAAACCCCAAGTCATGAAAAAAAAAAAAACTTACCATGTTTCCTCATCATGTCACAAACATTAAACTGATGCTCTGTTTTGCAGTGGGAGAATACATCTTCAGCAGAACTAAACAACCTGTAAATAACAAATTATTACACACGCAGCATCAACATGTTTGGAAGTTGTAACGCTCTTGAGTTCTACACCCTCTGTTCTGGCCTGCTTAGCAATGTGTTCAGAACAAACCATTTCTGCCTTCCAGAAAGGATGACCAGGCACCCGCTTACTTGCATACCTCACAAAAAAGCTTTTACCTTGTTTGCAAAACATTTTGCAACAAAAGGTAAGGAACGCGAAAATTTTGTTTGACAAAACTGCAAACTCTGTTAACTTCCCAAAATTCCTTGCGAACAAAGACAGCATTAAACCCAAAAATCTAAGAACCACGTATATACAAGGCAAGTGGGCCAGCTAGATCTGCCGCATCAAAACAAAAATTCTCATCTATTTACTCACGATGGGAAAAGATGAGAGAGAGAATTCATGAGAGAAACTTCCAAACGTGCCACAGGGGGAGGAGAGGGGAATTACCTACTTCCCACATTACTCCCTCCTTTAGTCCAGCTTTAGCAGACTTTTAGGTCTAGACAGACCGTATACAAGCACAAGAGGCTACAGAGCACTGTCACAAACTACGTATCGCTTACTTTTGTGAGGTGGCTGCCTCCCGCAGGCTGAGCCTGGGCACTCGCACCCCAGCCCGCCCTCTCCAAGGGGCTCCGCGGGTACCACCGCGCCTCAAGAAGCCCCTCGGCCGGG